CAGGCCAGGGGCGGCACGCTGCCCGGAGCGCAGAGCGGGAGGCACGCAGCCCCGCACACCCCTGCGCAGTCCCGCAGCACCCTGCCGCGTGTTCCTCCTTTGCCAGGCTGCCCTCTTTCCCCTGCGCAGCGTTTACTGCGCGTGCCACTGAGAAGCGCTGACATTCAGATCCACCAGCGCTGACTGAAACACCCAGGTTAGACACGTAACAATGGGTATTTATGGCTGAAGCGGGAGCACGCTCTGAGCTCCAGCAGTGTTCTGCAGAGCTCGACACGGTGCCTTGCAGAGAGGCAGCCGCGGCGCAGAGGAAGCCAGCCAGACGTTCTGATGTGGCTCTCCACAAGAAGTAGCCAGCACATCTCCTCAGCAGAGCCAATCAGACCGAGAAAGGACCTGTTTAGTTTAGTAATGCTGCTTCCAGCGCTCAGGACAGCTCACCAGAGACTGGCCATCTACCACCCGGAACGTTTGGGGCCAGGCTTCGCTGAGCAGAGGCAGCTCAGCCTGCCATTTCCTGTCAGTTATACAGGTGTCTGCAGTCAGTCTGAAGCAAGCCAGGATACTCAGCTCAACGCCACTGTGGTGTTTCTCAATTCCCTTCAGGATCTCCAAGCTCAGCAACCAGCACCCCAGCTATCCGCTTAGAAACAGGAGAAAAGGACGCACTCACCTGCTCTCGTTGTCCAGAAACACAGAACTGCTGCTTTTCCCAAGGGCTTCGCTAATTGGGGAGAGGCAGAAGGGAGAAGCGAAGGCATCGGAATCAGAGTCAAAGGTACTGTCCCTGCTCACGTCATCAGCAGACAGCTCCAAGGAGCCTTCGTCCTCCCCCGGCTCTGGCCGGCAGTCCAGACCTTCCTCCATCCCCTCCGCCGATAGCTCCGACCTGTTCTGCTCCTCCTGAGAACTGACTGTCGAGAGGATTCCTGAGTCGCTGCGGGCAGGCTGGGGGGACCGGCGGGGGCCGTCCGCCGCGGGGCAGCTCGGGAAGAGCTTCTCCCCTTCCGACGAGGGGGAGCTGATGTAAGCCACATCTTTCACAAGCTGTGACACAGTCAGGATGTCTTCTTCTTTCGGGATCACCGCCCCTCGCTGCTCGGTGGGGGAAGCCTGCCGGACGACGCCGAATCCCTGAGCGTGGCGGCCGCGCTTGCGGGGAGCTTTGCGGACAGGGGAGTTCTCGGGAGTGACGTAGCGCAGGGCTTCTTCATCCTGCCGCTGGATGCGGGAGTTCGGCACCCAGGCGAGGATGAGCGTGGTTCCCAGCAGCTCATCTTTCTCCATGTACAGGCACAAGTAGCCTTCGAGAGAGCAGAGGAGCAGCGGGTTACAACACAGCTTTAGTCCTAGCACACTGCCTATGCCTGACATTTGCCCTTCCCCACCTTCCCCCACTCACCACCACGACACCTGGGTAAAACAAGCCCTTTCTCTCCTTCTGCTTGGAGAGAATTCTGCCAAAGGAGTGCTCAGCATCATTCAGTATTTACAAATAATTTCAAGCCTGCATATGGCTTTTGAATAGCCTGAATTCCCTCTGGCCGAAGCGGACGTAGAAATGACATGCAAATACTTCAACTTCCTGGACGGGTTACTAATCAAGAGTGAATTCTGAAATATGTTGCCACATGAAAAACCTCTGCTGTTTGGTAGTTAAACAACTTCAAGAGCCAGCTAAACATTTCTTTCTCAAGAGTATTTATCTTGGTGTAGCCCTATTTTCATGGAAAGCCAATAGAAAAGAAAGCGTCACACACACAAAAAGGGAAGCCTGGGTCAACGTTCACAGAACAATTTGTTTTGTGAAGCTCAGCCAGTAGCCACAGCTCTCTTTGATGAAAACATGAAAGAGCGCAGTACCAGATGAGAAGGAAGGGACAGAGCAGTATTTATCCTCATTTACTCCGGTGCATGCAGCCACAATCAGGTTTCCCTTCTTCTCCCTTTACCAGCGGCTGCTGAGGCCACTCCAGCAACGACAGCTACAAGATGCTTCCCTGAACAACACATGGATTTGCAAGAGCGACAGAACCTACTGTCCTCAAACAACAACTGTCCATCTTCTGGCAAAACAAAGGACTTACCAGAACAGGTAAATCCAGGATAGACCAGAAGAGAAAGGAGAAATATCATCAAGTTTCCTACCAAAAGACAAGCTGATGGATCAGCTTGTGGATGGCTTTCCTTAGTCCTCCCTCAGACTGCCGGCCCCGTTCCCCGCTGGTACCTCATTCCTTAGAGCCCAAGCTGTAGGATCTGACCCAAACACACACCCCAGGAGAGAGAAAAAGAGCGAGTGAGCGGTGTCTGCAACACCCCGTCACCTGGATGGTGCTCCCCGATGCCTTGGAGCAGCTCAGGTGGGTGGACGCAGACGTTGTTCTTCGAGTAGATAATCTCCCCATCAAGGACGGAGGATGAGCTGGTGCCACCGCCAGGGTTCAGGGTCAGGAGGTCGGAAGCTTTGGAAGAGGCACGTCGGAGGAGTCGCCCCAGAGACATCGCCAAGGAAATGTTTCCATTATCCGTCAGCTTTAATCAGGAGCCAAAGTCAGAAGATCTGCCAAGGAAGAAGAAAGAATAGCGTTAGAACAAAGAGAACGACAGGACAGCACGTGCCTACCGCTGCCCGAGAGGGAAGAGGTGTCCCACCAACGGCGGCATCAATCCGACAACTCCAGGGAGCCTCCAAACGCTCTGGATGAGCAGCATCACCCCCACCTTGTAAAGATGCTGAAGGACAGAATCCCCGGATGTGTTTCTCCGCAATGAAGGAACAGCAAACCCCCTACATTTTAACAGTTACTGGGGGGAGGAAAGAGAAAAGCGATGCTGGTCGCTGAAAATTGCCCATAAAGGGAACAGCTCAGCGATGCAGAGCTGCCCGATGTGTCACTGTCCTGGGGATGTCAGAGGGAGTCAGAGCAGAGCCTGCAGGATTCCTTCAGCACAGAAAAACTGCTGAGACCATGACACTGAACAAGGGGCTGCTGCTTCATCACAACAGCC